TGCACATCTGCTCACAGACTCATGTTCATGTTTGTGCTGATGTTCAATGTTTTATGTTATGAGTGCTTAGTGTATATTTAGTTGATGTTTTTCTTAGTTCATATCTTAGATGTTATTACTGTTTTTCTTATACATTTTATTGTTGGATGTAACTGGGACCCTGTGTACATAATTTCGCTCCACCACATGTACCACATGAGGTGCGAATGACAATAAAGAAACTCTGACTCTGACTCTGATCTGCACCAGATTTATTGTGCGTAATCCGTGAGGACTTCTACACACATGGGTATTGTTGTTTAACATTTCACTCCAGTGCGCCCCCTAGATTATTCCAACAGTTATATCTCAGTGATACATCATCTGATCTGGACCAGATTTTTTTGTGCTTCATCAGTGCACACTTGTAGACATTAATATTGTTGGTTCATGACTTGACTTAAGCCCGGCCCACTCAGAGAAAAAACGATTATTGGGTGACTCTTCCAGCTTGGCACTGTATAAGATATACCATACCATACCATACCATACCACTTTATGTATAAAGCACTTAAAACAGCAACAAGGCCAACCAAAGTGCTGTACAGACAATACAACAGGTAATACACCAAGCAAAATACAAAATGAAGTAAATCAGAAAATAGAGATAAAAACGATGCAGATAATGACAACAAACCAGTGTGGAGCATACAGGTTCAAAACACAGATCATCTGGTGTTGAAAGCTACTGAATAGTAGTGAGTTTTTAAACGGGACTTGAAAACCGAGAGGGAGGGGGCCTGTCTGACAAACAGAGGTAACTTGTTCCAGAGTCTTGGTCCTGCTACAGAGAAGGTCCTGTCACCTCTGCGCTTAAGACGAGTTCCTGGAACTGTGAGGAGCAACTGGTCCGCTGACCTCAGGAAACGTGGTGGGACATACGGTTGTAGCAGATCAGAGAGATGGGGGGGCACACTGTTCAGTGATTTGTAGACATACATGAGTATTTTGAACTGGATTCGAAAGTGAACCGGTAACTAGTGCAGTGAGGCCAAAACTGGTGTAATGCGCTCTCTTTTGCCTGTACTGGTTAAAACGGGGGCTGCTGCATTCTGGACCAGTTGTAGTCGTGCAGTGGAGGTCTGACTGATACCAAACAGGAGTGAATTGCAGTAATCAAGCCTAGATGTAATGAATGCATGTATTACTGTCTCCATGTTATTTTTGGACAATATGGGCTTCAGTTTAGACAGCCGCCTCAGTTGGAAGAAACATGATTTAACAATCATGTTTACATGATTATTAAGCTTCAGGGAAGGGTCCATTATCACGCCCAGATTAGTGACTCTTTGTTTTTCTGACAGGGTTAGAGCGGAGAGGTCGATACAGTGGTTTGTGATCGTGTCGTTGGGAGGGAACAACATGACTTCAGACGTCTTTTCATTGAAACTTAAGAAATTTAAAGCCATCCAGTCCCTGATGTCAGCCAGGCAGTTGAGCAGCGGTTGAATAGAGCATGTACCATTGTGTCTTAGGGGGAAGTAAATTTGACAGTCATCGGCATAGAAGTGGAAGGGCATGTTGTGTTTCCGAAAAATAGCACCAAGCAGCAGCAGGTATAAAGAGAATAGGAGGGGACCCAGGATGGACCCCTGCAGAACCCCCCCATTTAAACTCTGCCTTTGCGGAACTAAAATCCTTGATGGAGACACAAAAATATCTGTCAGCGAGGTAAGATCTGAACCAATTGAGGGCTGATCCTGTGACACCCACCCACTGCTCCAACCTAGCAATGAGGATCTCATGGTCGATGGTGTCAAAGGCGGCTGTGAGGTCCAACAGGACAAGCAGTACAGAATCACCGGTATCTGTGAATCTGAAGATTTAAGACTGAAACTGTATTCGCTAACTGTTGATAACCACATATGACATGTTGAAAAGCCTATAGGAAGTCCTTTAAATTCGTGACAAAACAGGAAGTGACAATAACTCCTGTCTGGAAGGTCGGATTTTAGCCAAACTTGTAAGGTTGCAGCCGGACTCATACTGATATGGGCGGAAGTTGATTGCAAAGATTTAGCTTATACGCACCCTGGTGGACATGTGCAGGAATCGCATGAGAGCTTTCGCAATGGCGACTGGGAGGTGTTGCTTGAGCTCCCGCGGTCGCAGGTGATGTCAACGGTTCGGCGAATGCGCAACCTGGTGAACGAGCAGGGGACAGGTGCGAGAGCGATCGCGATGGCGACTGCGCAGAGTCGCTTGATCTCCCGCGGTTGCACTAAGGCCGGAGTGGTGCTTTGCTGTGAGGACCTTCAATGCTGCTTGTAGCTTTAATTTTTATTGGTATTGATTTTATCTGTTTAACTCGTTGTTTTATTGTGTTTTAAACTGATTTTTAGTTCACTGTGTGCTTGGCTTTGTAGCTTTGTTTTTCTGCTCTTTTCTTGTTTTTAACTAATGTTCAGCACTTTGTTTCAGCTGTGGCTGATGTTAAAGCGCTTTATAAATAAAGTTGATGATGATGATGGTAAAGGCTGAAGCCACTGCAGCCTTGAATGAGAACCTACGTTACTGAACATGACTTGCTAACTCAGTGTCTCTACTGACAGTGGTGTGGGGTATTTTTTTGTTTGTTTAATTTTTTCACTTGCTTCAGTGAGATTTTGTTTAGAAGTAGCATTTGATATTGGTTTCTTTTTTTGTAGTTCTGAACTATGACTCTCATACTGAAGTACATAACCTGTAGCTTAAACATTGCATTACACCACAATTCCCTTAAATGTTTGTGTCATCGTGTCCATGTGCCTCACCCCCCCCCCCCCGCCCCCCCCCACCCCACAACACCCCAACACCACACACCCCGACAA